CCATGGCGGACGAGCTCTACCTCGACAACATCGACGAGTTCGTCACCGACCAGAACCGCATCGTGAGTGCCGGCGCCGCGCGCAGGGATAGGGTGGGGGCGGCGGGACGGGACGGGGGAGCTGCGGTTGTTATGTGCGACCCGCTCAGGAGGGAGCGAACCCCCTTCTCGCCCACCTCCTGTCCTGCTTCCCCTTCCTTCCTCTTCTTCCCCCGCTTTTTTCTCCCGCTTTCCTTCCTGGTCACCCTCCCTTTCTCCTCTCCAGCTTCTCCTTTCTATTCTTTCCTCGTCTTCCTTTCTCTTTTCTTCCCCTTTTCTCACCTTTTCCTCTTCTGCTCCTCTTCCTGCTCTCTCCTCCTTTTTTCTCCTCTCTCCTCCCGCTTCCTTTTCTCCCCCCTTCCTCTTCTTTCTTCCTCCTCTTCCGTCCCCTTTTCCTCCCCTCTTCCCCGTCTTCTTCCTGTCTCCCTACTCTTCCCCCTTCCTTCTCCTTCTCCCCCTTTGTCTTCCTCCCCCTCCCTTTTCATTTTCCTCCCCCTTACTCTTTCTCTTCCCTCTTTCTCCTCTTCCTTCCTCCCCTTCTCTTGCTTCTCATCACACCTCATCCTCCTCTTCCCACCCATCTTCCTCCTCATCTTTCCTCTTCCTCCTCATCTTTCCTCTTCCTCTTTCTCTCCCCCTTCTCATCCCTCCCCTTCTTCCTCTCCCTTCTCTTTCACCCTGACCCAGGTGAAGCACCAGCACTTGGCCTTGTTAGACCTCATGAGATTTGTAAGGACCCTCAGGAGCTGTTTGGGAGAGCAGTAAGAGCCTCTCACAAGGACAAATAGTACCATGTAATGTTTGTTTCCATGGTCAGTCTGAGCAGCTGCAGCTGCTCTGAATGACTTATATTTGTGCAATTTCAAGAGGACATTCCCAAACCCACAGCTTCTGGGTCAGGTGGGTTGGGCAGCTCTCAGAAATTCCATCCGGAATTCCTGGAAGCACAGGTTGATGTCCATGTGCTCTCACTTTTGCTGTGGGTTTCTGGGAAGAGGGAGGTGTCTAAAGAATTCAATTTCCAGGGAGGTGTCTAAAGAATTCAATTTCCTCATGAAACAAGCCAAAAATGGGAGGTATAACGAACTGAGAGCTCAAGGTTTCCCTACTGAAGTGTCTTGTTGGTTTTTGTCTCCTAACAGGTAACATACAAATGGCTGAGCTACACTCTGGGAGTCCACGTCAACCAGGCCAAACAGTAGGTGTTACTGCATCCCCCAGGGCTGGGTTTGTGGCAAAGCCTTGTAAACTCCTGTTGTCATGATTGTGATTAACATATTAAAAAGATCTCTCTAGAAACGTTTGAAACCTGCAAGTCCTCAGGTACAGTCAGTTGTGTTGTTCCGTGTGCCTGAGTACCTACCAGGCTTGCTGGGCACAGGGAAATATGTGCAGGATGGGAATCCAAATTTAGCATCAGTGTGTAACATTGTCTTGGTGTGTTCTGAAGAATAAAAGTTACCATAACATCTTGAATACCCTGTTAGCACAAAATGAGTTCTCTGGGACTTTAGGGTGGTTGCCACACCTCAAGGGAAGGTGAGGCCTAAGATTTGAAGGCCTCATCAGAGTGTCAAGTCCCATAATACAGATATTTTCTCTCCTTGTTTCTGGCTGTGGCTCAGACCTAAAGGGACATCTCAACCTGCCCACACCACTGGAACACCAGCTCAGGCACCTCATGGAATGAAGAGACTGCTTGGTCTCTTTCCTCTCAACATGTGAACAATTCAAGTGGTGTGTAAACCTGAACATGCTCCAGTGATGGTGAAGACCTGACTGGATAGTTCTGCTGGGAACAGTTCCAGTCTCACAGTAAATCAACCAGTAGGAGCCAGAGAAGTTTTTGCAGTGAGGAGGGTGGTCCAGGTGGAGCGGGGGCACCTTCCCAAGGGGCACATCCCGTTGGCAGCAACTTGGGGATGAAAAATTGAAATTTTCTCCTAGAAGCTGAAAAGTGCCTGATGACACAAGGGAATTATTTCAGGGGTGGTGCTGGCTGTGGCAGTGTGGTCATTGCAGTCTGTCTCTGTAGTGGTTGTGGTCTTCCAATATTCTTCCCAGACAGTTTCTTCATGGAGTGTCTCTGCCTAGGTACATGGGACACTCACCATAAATCAGTAGTGGGAGCAGGAGCTGAAAGCTTGAGGCTCAGGTCAATCCTCATCACTAATTATTCTCTTCCCTCCTGTTCCTGATCACCCCATCCATGGATGTGACGGGGATTGTATATATACACCTGACAGTGTGATTATGTACCAGAAAGTCACCAGTTCCTGTGTCAGGGGGTTCAGAAATGCTGTTCTGCATGGGAGACTTTGGAACCAGCTGCCCAGAGGATGTGAAACCATCTGTAAACAACTGTTAATTGTATTCATTTCCCCTTTGGCTTCCATAGTTGTTGGGCTGAGATTCTCCAGGGTGGCACAGGAGAAAAGCACCTCAGGAAGGTTAATTCAATCCTGGATAGAATAACTGTGCTGATGTGAAAGGTTTTCTTGTCAGGTTGTCTTTACTCTCTCTTATGGGAGCTTCATGGCAAGGGTGGCACCAGGCTCCTCCTTTGTGGGTGACTAACACTGGTTTCCTTTGTGCAGGATGCTGTATGAGTATGTGGAGAGGAAAAGAAAGGAGAATTCAGGAGCTCAGCTTCATGTCACCTACTTGGTAGCAGGAAACCTCATCCAGAATGGACATCATGTGAGTGTTTCACTTCCCAAAGGTGTCTGTGAGCGCTTTATTCTTGTGTCTCTTCCCTCTTGTTTTGTAATCTTTGTAAAAGCTGAACTTGCTGTTTTTGCAGTAAGAGTCACAGTGTGGCAGGTTTTCTGGACAGGGACAAAGTAAGGCACAATTTCTGTCCCAGGGTTCAGAGGATGGAGAGGAAACATTAGTTGGCCATGATTTGGTGACATAGTGCTGAATAGCGTACCAGGGTTCTTAATTAATTAACTTCAGCCCTGTCACCAGTCCTATCCCTATTACTGGGCAGCAAAGACTGTAAAACATTGTGGAGTGACCCTTCTGAGATAACTCATCCATCCCCTGGGATCTGCTGTGGGTTGGAAGGGTGCTCTCAGCTTGGAGAGGGCTTGGAACTCAGTTAGAATGGAATAATAATAAAGTTGAAGTTGTTTTATTCATTAAAGCAGCTTTTTAATCCTGGTAAACAAGAGAAGCACACATTTTTCAACAGTATTTTGTATTTAAAGTGCTTTGACTTCTTAAGCAAAGGAATTGCTCCTTTATGGATTTGTTTTATCTCATTGCTGCTTGTCAGATTTTCAGGAATGTTACTTCAGGCAGGTACCATAGAGGCTTTTGAAAGAAGACAAGGAAATTGAGTGTCTGTTTCCCTTTGCTCACAGAAGAATTTGAGAGCCAAACCCTCAATGCACTAGGTGTTTGTAAATACACAAATATCTATTACAATACAATCCACAGTCTTTTAGGAATAGTAAACTTCAGGGTGTCCTAGCTTTTATTTGTACATTGGAAAACAACCCCAACAAACCTTTTTTGTTCTCCTAAATAATTAACTGGTTCATGTGCAGAGACTATTCTCTTTAAAGCTCCAAATCTGCCTGAAATTGAAGGTGATTATTTATTGCATTAGTTCTGTATGATGGAATGTATTTACTTACAGCTGCACAGGTAGTGTCACATTTGTAGCCTGAGTTTAACAGGTGTTCCCCTGATTTCATTTGGAAATAACCAGTCTCTTGGCTCACCATAACTGGCCACAGGTTGTCAGTCCGTTCTGTGATCTTTAAATTTGCCATAATGCATTTAAAACAAACAAATGACTTCTGACAGGAACACATAATGATTCATTTACTCTGTCTTAGCACCTTGGGCATTTTTAAACCTGTCACAAGTCAGTTTGGGGGAGGAAAGGGCTCTGAGAGCTCCAGGTGCATCCCTGGGCTTGCTGGTGGCACTGCACTACTGCCTGCTGTCAGTAGGTGTAGTCGGAATGCTATGGATCCAGCTGCAGGATTCCCGAAGGAAGAGAGGGATGGGAGGCTGTGGATCCAGTTGCAGGATTCCTGAAGGGAGAGAAGGATGGAAATACCTCACAAATAATCCTCATTAAGCACTTCATGTGCCTTCCTTGCTGCTCTTTATCAGCCTCAGAGAGGGGCCAAGACTCTCAGTCTTTATTTACCCTCTCATGTTGCCTGTTTTCTTGCCACTCACTCTTTCGCTGACTAATTAAAGCAACTCTTTTATCTTGGTAAACAAGATAAACATATATTTATTAACGGTATTTTGCATTTTAAATGCTTTGGTTTATTAAGCAAAAGAATTGCTCCTTAATGGATTTATTTTATCTCATTGCTGTTTGACAGATTTCCAGGAATGTCACCTAAAACTTCAGGCAGGTCTGTGGTGTCTGTGAAACAGAAAATTAATGGTTGGGGTTTGTCTAGTCTGGATCCTCTCTGTATTAGCCACAGCCTGTTACATGTCCTGGAGCAGGTACAGTCCTTGAAGCCTAGCCAGAGAGCACATTTCCAGAAACATTCATTCCTGGCTTTTAAATTAATGGTGAATTTTTCACAGTGTTTTGCTTCTCTGATGCCATGTCTGGGCTACAGGTTGGAGTGTCCTGGCAATCCAAACCTACAGGGGACGTGTGGGCTACTGAGGCAGATTTCTAGCCGTGCTTAGTTTGCTTTGCTGCTGCTGCACGGTTGTTTAGGTTTTGTTTCATCTGTGTATCATCTCCCTGTGGCAGGAGAGGAGGACAGAGGCTTCCTTTGGGTTTCTGGTGCTCTGTGGAGCAGAAAAGTGGGATGATAGAGCTTTAAAAAACTAGCAGCTGGTGAGGGTTTAAGCTGTCAGTGTTCTTTGCAGCTGTGAAGCTGCACATATAATCATTAGACATTCTTATTCAGTAGATAAACTATCAGTCTTGCATACAACAGGTCTTTTGGAATACTGAGATTATGTATTTCTCTTTTCCAGTGCCACAAGGTTGCAGTCGTGAGGGAGGATAAACTGGAAGGTAAGCAGATCACGAGAATGATGTGGGTTTAACCTTTTTCTTCGAAAGAACAGTGAAGAGAGCAGAGCTCAGCACATGCCATGTGCATGGCCAGGGTCTGGGATCAGGGGGTACTGTGTGTACCAGCTCTTTCTCAGAGTTCTGAGTGTCTGAGCCAACAGCTGTGTACCTTCAGGCTTGTGATGTGGGTCTGATTTGGTTTATTAAGAACATTTTATCGGTGATGTTTTTGCACCTCCCAGCCCCTGACAGTCAGCTCCTCCTTAAACACAGCAGTACCCAAGTGGTGTCTCACAGAACAATCCTGAGCCTTCGGGCCTCCAGAAATGCTGGAGCTGGTAATTCTCCTTAATGGTTCGGTCTTTGTTTGTTCTGGGTGCTGTGTGTGTTATAACAAAAAAGCTCCCAGTGTAACACTGCAGGTTCTCTCCATGCACTGTCAGGTCTCTCACCATCTTTCCGGGTCTGGTCCTGCTGATGAAACCTCATCCACAGCAATTAAAACACAACTGCAGGTTCTTCGTGCTTTCAAATAACATCTGTGGCATTTGAGAACACTCTGTGGCATTTGTGACCTTAAACATCCATGCTAATGATCTCACTTTGTTTGAAAGACTTGTGTTATTTTCCCTCTGGAAATCTAAAATGGATTTGTTGCTAGAGCTGTCTTCATCAGGGTAGGAGATTGTCAAGCAGTGCAACTACTATCTGTCACATTGATTGAGTTATGTGTACTGTGTAATGCTCTGCTGTGGAGGAAAGGCTTGCTCATGGTTTTTGTATTGCAAGGCAGGCCAAAGGTATGACTTATATTTGGAAGAGGCTGAGATGTTTGATGAGAGTAAGGCTGCAGAGTCCAGGACTGGCCCAAAGAAGTGATTACTGTGTGTATTTTTACAGTGCCTAGAAGCTCAGCCTCAGACCAGGACTGTGTGGAAAGAACAATATAAGCAATGAACAAAGAATTCCTAAAAACCAACCCTGGTCTCAAGGGGGTCACAGTATAAACAGTATAGAAGAGACACAGTTTTGCTCCCAGCAGAGTACTAGGGACAACACTGTAACACTGGGGATGACAGTGTGACACTGGATGCTGGCAGACAGCAACTTCATCAGGGTAGAGTTAGGACCATCTATTTTCTTCCTCACACCGATATGCTGGATCCCAAACACTAGATGTTTTGAAGGTAAACACAGAGAAATCACTTTTAATTCAGTTGTGTAAGAACAAGAGTGTGTCATGGAAAGGTGTTTGACAGGCTTGTGGAGTCAGTTAATTATCCTTAATCAGTGAGTGCTGGGAGGAGGTGCAATTAGAAGTTTTTATATTCAGGTCTTGTAGTCTGTCAGTGTTTCTCCGTCCCTGGCAGAAGCTGATACTGTAGAGGCTGTGCTAACAGGGCTTATTCTCTCTTCTCCCCCAGCAATGAAGTCTAAGCTCTCCACGATTGCCAGTGTGCATGTGTATAGCATCCAGAAGGCTTTGCTCAAGGACAGCTCTCCACTCTACAACACTGACTATGACATCATTAAAGCCAACCTGCACAACTGCACCAAGTGAGTTGCCTCTTGGTTTCTCTTCTTAAACCTTCTGATTTGAGTCTGAGATGTTGCTACCTGGTGCATTCAATGCTTACCAGATAGGTCTGGATTTTTAGAAAGCTGAAAAAAGATATCCTCTAAGTCAGGCCAGGCCGGGTCCCAAACAGCATAGTGGGGGATTGGTTTGTAAACTGAGCTATTTCCAGCTTACACTTGGTTCACTTGCTCATTACTCCAACAGACAGACTGTTCCAGTATCATTCTTCTCTGATGGCTAGAAACTTCTTTCTCATTTCCAGGCCACACTTAATCATGGCCATTTTAATCCAGTTCTCATTCACACAGGGAGCGTAAATTGAAACAGACAAAACCATGAGTGATATGCTCAGTGAAGCACTGACGTGAGTTTGCTTTCTGGGTTGTGGCACTGTTTTCATCTACCTCTCTGAAGGTGTCTTGCAGGAACTCATTCTCCAGAAGTTGAACTTTGATCCTTGTAAGTTGGACTTTGATGGTCCTTGTGGGTCCCTTCCAACTCTGATATTATATATATCCAATTCCAATATTCTGTGATCTCCAAGATGAGAGTCTGAGACATAGGGGAAGCACACAAAACAGCCCAGGCAGCACAAGTGTCCTTCACGGCTGAACTACAGAAGAATCCCAAGGGTCTGCAGTCTCCAGGAGTCACTGCCTCTCCTTCTGAGCAGTCCCTGGCAGCTGTGGCTTTTCACTGCTCTGTTGTCTCCACCGCGACAGCTTCAGCTTGAAGTCATCAGGATGTACAGTGCCATGACCAATGTGGTTTGGAAGGGGAATGCCTGAATGCTGTGTCATACGAAGAGTATAGAATTTGAGAGGAGGAACATAGTGTTGACAAAAGAGTGGCTGAGAAAATAATGTCCTAGGAGCTGTGTGTTTGGGATGTGAGTGGCACTGCCTGGGAAGGGCTGGAAAACCCCACGGCAATGAAGCCACGTGTTGTGGGCTTGGTTGCAGTTGCCTTGTTCCACTCTGTTTACTCTCAGGCACCGCTGCATGGTGATGCTTGTGCCCTAGAGGACTCTGCCTTTGGGATTTACACATTCAGAAGGTTTAGATAATTCAGATTCTGAAACAGCTTTCCAAAGCTTATGTGTAAATCTGTGCCTGGCTTTGGGGCAGAATTCCCCAAGCAAACAAAGAAAAATTCAGCTTCATTTGTGATCTGTCTGAGCTAAATTCAGACTAAGCATCTTCTCTCTACCATGTCAGCTACATGGGTTGTCTTTGACCCTTGGGAAAAGATTCCTGCAGGACCCGCAAAAGTGAGAGGTTTACCTATGTGATGTTTATAGCAAGCAGAACCTTGCAGAAGCAAGCAGGAGGCTTCTCATACCTCCTGTCATTCCAGATATCTCACAACCCTGGGACAAGGATTTTATTCTCTGCTGTTTTTCTAGGGACCTGCTTTGCTGTGAAGGCAGTGGAGTGGCTAGGTGTACTAGTTAATATTTAAAAATGGATTTAATGCTTGTTGCCATAGTCAGCTTTCCAAGATGAAGCAGCTCCTTGCTTGCAGAGCATGGGCTGGGCATTGCTTATTTTTTCAGTGATTATTTAGTGAATTTTGGATCAAGCCCATCAGCTGTAGTTACACAGCAGCATCAAGGCAAGCTACCTTGGAATGTGGGAAGTTCAGACGAACTCTGCCACAGTCAATATAACCATTGACAGTATTGTTTGTAGTCTGGAGGGTTGGTGGTGTTTGGAGTAGGAGCAAAAGCTGTGCTGAGAGTGGTATTGACTGTGTTAAAAACACACTGAAAGTATAAAGGGAGAGGAGGGATATTTCCCATCAATGTCCCTTTTCCTTCCTTTAAAGGTTTGAATGTCCAGAGGTTGTTTCATAAGTACAGTACAGATCCTGATCTGAGCAGAAGTGCACTGTGCATGTGAGCAGCTAACACTGAGCACAGAAATGAGCTGGCAAAGGACTGGTTTGTTTCTTATGCAAATCAGACTATGCTGTGTAACTCTGGGTTGAGAGGCTTAGCTTGTGCTCTTTTGTGGCATTTCTGTAGGAAATCTGGGAAGCACTGCCTGTGATTTGCACAGTGGGGAGCAGAGTGCAGTTATTTTTGGGCACTGCTATTCCTGACTGTCAGTGAATTGCACTGTAACTGTGAGCACATCACTTAGTTCTTATATCTTCATCTCCACAAACAATCAAGTTTCACACCATTATAAACTGAGATGTATCTCTGTCTACCAGGGATTGCATGGAAATGTCTTTATATAGTTAAGTCTCAATGTTGTGAATATCTTTTGAGCTGTTTCAGCTATGATTTACTTACCTGGCTGGTATGAGTGTGGCTGATTGTGGCAGCAGTTGTGGACTCTGTCAAAGCATCTGCAAGCTATAAATGTTTCAACCCCTCAGACAGCCACAGAACTTGCACCACAAACTCCAGAGAGTGTAACCCATTTAGGAATAAAATGCGGTGTGCTCCTTGTCCATCCTGGGTGTGGAGAAGGCCCTTTTCTCCATAGGAAAGCTGCTTGTTTAGCCTGTGAGTGCTCTGGCTCTTGCTGACAGGTTCAGCTGATCTTTCCATCAGAGGTCTCCATCACTTTTTCTCTGTACCAGCCATTCCTTGTTGCATGCACACATTATATTGCTCTGTTTTCCATAACAGGAGAGCATAGGACCAGCTGCTGGGGAGAAACAAGGTGAAAACTAAGAGGTTTAAAAGGCTAATTAAACTTTTTCTTCCCTCCCTCCCCAGGTTCAGTGCCATCTGGTGTGAGGCCGCGGTACCCCGGGCACCGCCCGATGTTCCCCCAGCTCAGACGTCCCTGCAGGCTGATTCCCAGAGGGCAAGTGACAGGAATGCTGCCACCATTCCCACTGTCAATGGCCACGGCCCAGCAGCTTCTAAACACCCCTCACCACAGTCCAAAGGGATCATGGGAATGTTTGCAGCCAAAGCAGCTTCCAAACCCCAGGACACAAATAAGGAGACCAAAGCTGAGGCGAAGGAGGCTGCAGGGGTAAGTTGCCTCAGACCCATCAGGGTTAATAGATTTAATGAACAGCTCTTCCCACTGCACTCTCACACCACCTCAGTAACCTCAGCCACCTCAATAAACCACAGTCCAAAGGGATCATGGGAATGTTTGCAGCCAAAGCAGCTTCCAAACCCCAGGACACAAATAAGGAGACCAAAGCTGAGGCGAAGGAGGCTGCAGGGGTAAGTTGCCTCAGACCCATCAGGGTTAATAGATTTAATGAACAGCTCTTCCCACTGCACTCTCACACCACCTCAGTAACCTCAGCCACCTCAATAAAAAGAATCATCAAATCAAGTTTGAAAGAGACCTTTAAGATCATCAAGTCCAACCATAACCTGTCACTCTACTGTAACCCCTAAACCCTAAACCACATCTTTCAGCACCAGGTCCAGACAACTCTTAAGCACTTTCAGGGATGGTGATTCCACCAGCTCCCTGAGCAGCCCCTTCCAATGGCTGACCACTCTAACAGAACCTCAACTGTCCCAATAGTTCAACCACTTCAATAACCTCAACCACCCCAATAACCTTAATAAATGCAGTCACCACAATAGCTTCAACCATCCCAGTAATCTCAACCACCCTGGCATGGCCTCATCTGCTGCTTCTTGTGCTAAACTCAGATCCCACTGGGAATTCTCAGCCATCCTTAGCTGAAGAAGAGGTGACTCAGGGGTGACCTTATCACTCTCTACAACTCCCTGACAGGAAGGTGCAGCCAGGTGGGAGTCAGGCTCTGCTCCCAGGGAACAAGGGACAAGATGAGAAGATGTAACCTCAAGCTGCATCAGGGGAGGCTTAAGTTAGACATCAAGAGGAATTTCTTCACAGAAAGGGTGATTAGACACTGTCATGTGCTGCCCAGGAGGTGGTGGAGTCACCATCCTTGGAGGTGTTTCAGGAGATGTCGGCATAACACTTCGTGCTCTGGTCTAGTTGACATGGTGGTGTTAGGTCATTGGTTGGACTGTATGATCTCAGAAGTCTTTTCCAGCCCGATTGCTTCTCTGATTACGTGAACTGGTTCTGTGATTCCATGAACTGTGTCATACAGACATACCTTCTGTCAGTCATTTGGGCAAAAATACCTCATGCTGCACTCTTGATCTATCCAGAAAAGCGCATTTGCCGTAGGTTTGACATTCCCCCTTGAGCCAGATCTCTGGCAAGTATCAACCAGCATAGCTGCCTCATGGAGCCAATTGTTCTCCAGCTATCCCAATATATACACCACTTGAGGATCTTGCTCTCTCCATTGTGCTTAAAAGGATTTGTTTTGAGCCATAAGTGAAATGTGAGAAGCTCAGGTCTTAAAAGCATCAAGGTGTTTAAACTTGGTCTGTGAGAGAAGTTTCAGAGCTTGATTTGTGCAAGACTAAATAGTTTATCTTCTCCACTGCTGTTTTGCCAGGGTAGGATTAGGTTTTAATTCTAATTAGTATAATTGTTTTTAAAGCAATGTGCCCAGAAAAGTGGGTGTTAGAATGGGAACATTCCCTGCATATGGTTTGGGTTTTTTTTATAACTGCTGAGTACATTTTCGTTCATTTTTCTGATTTTTTTTTTATAGTGAATTTAGTGCTACTGAAATATGTTTTGGGAACTTTAGTCTCTGGTTGCCTTATATTTCATGAGAATAAAAGGGATTGGGAGGCCACAGTTCCTTAGGTGTTGGGTTTTGTGTGTGTGATATCTCAGTTTGGTGGTGGCTGTACTGATGGAAGAGAGCAATGATGTTTCTTTGCAAACAGTATACATGCCAGAGGAGCTGGCTAAAGCCTTTCTGCTTTGGCGAACCTCTGTTCTTTCCTCTGTGGTTTGCTGTGAATTGAGGCACTGATAGTTTGCAAAAAAGAACAGTGCTTTCCTGGGAACTGACCCAAGTCCCAGCACTTATTTCAGCAACACTGTCAGCCATCAGATGGGAATGTGCCCCAAGTTAGATTTGAAGGCCTGGCTAAGGAGTAACTTACTCTCACCCCTTTGCATGTAGTATCTAATAAGTATCTTCAAACCATCCTAAACAGATGTTAAAACCTAAGGCACAGGTCCCCAGATGATACCTATCATGCTTGTCCAGAAGCTGTGCTGTGCATTTTGAGGGCTGTGTTGCATGTGGTGCTTACTCCTCTGTTTGCTTCTAGGTGTCTGCAGCAAGCAGCAAACCACCAGCAAAGAACAATATCATACACAACTTCTTTGGAAAAGCTGCTATGAGTAAGTGCTTCTCTGTTTTCAGAGCCTGTCATGGTCTGGCAACAGCCTATTAAAACACAAAAAACCCCCGAAACCTGAGTGTTACTGGAAATCTCTTTTTATCTCATATTTTATTAAGCTTGGTAGCAATTAAATAATCAATGAAATGGAGTGTTGTGTTATAGAGCTGTGATGGGAGGCACACAGAAAGGACCACAACTCGTCTCTCCCATCCCTACACTGCCAAACTCATTCAATTTTCTTTATATACCTTCTTTCCTTATAGTTTTCCATACTCTTCTTCTGCTCTTTGGGATGCAGAGAGGTTAATGTTTTGGCATGCAGCTCTTGTGGCAAAAAATTAAGAGTTTTGAGTGGAATTTTTCAGACAAAAAGCTTGTTGGAGGGAGATCAATTAAAATGACATATTTGTGCAGACTAACCCAGGAAGGATTTTTAGTGCAGAAGAAATCTGATTTAAAGTGAGTACTTCTGGCTGGAAGATCAGCAATTGGTGAGATGTTTGCCAAAGCCTGTTATGAAGGGCATGTTAAGGGTTTGCTTTTCATCATACAGCACTGAGGAGCACACAACTAGTTTTAGGGTTAATTTCTTCCCTAATAAATGAAGAACTACTGACTGGAAAATAAAACTGAGGGGTGGCCTTCCCCTTGGAGCAGGGGTCAAGACTAGGTGGCCTCTGGAGCTCCCTTCTGGTCTGTACTGTCCAAGTCTAAAAGAAAATATGCTGAAGCTTTTAAATAGGCATTGGGACAGGACTGTAGGACCTTCTTCAAAGATTCCCTTATAGCAATGAGTACAAGAGGCCTCAAAGAAGAGTTTTGGGAGAGAGTAAACAGCAAAGGTCACTTTCTAATAGACATCTGTCAGAGTTTGCAGGGGACAGTTCCAGCACACAAGGCACAGCCCTGTTGGGCATCTTTGAGTCCCTGTTTTGGGGAGACTGAGGGAGCTGAAGACACTCTTAGCCCAAGGATAGTCACTGCAATTAACTGGAGTCAGTTCTGAAGGTCAGAGAGGAGCCTTAGACCAAAGTTCATGTGCTGAATACCCAAGAAGTTAGAATGGCATGGTAAAGATGACCCAGGGGTGATGGAGAAAGCTTTGTGGATGCATTTCCATGATTTCCAAAGGGGCTCACTTCTCTGCTGAGTCCTATCAGGGAAACTTGTGAGGTGGCTGCAGGGAAGGAGCAAACCAAGCAGAACTGGAAATGATTATGCATACAGCAGAGAGAGGGTGATTCCAAGAGTAAGATTTATTCCTTATATTTACCTCTCTCCTGGCTTCAAAGATCTCGCCATTGCCAGAAAGTCCTGAGTTCACAATGATGAGGTCCTTGGGCTCTCTGCTGTTGAGTATAAGTAAGTGAAATGTCATTCAAGTGCTCATATGAGAAATGCTTGCCCTTGCTTAAGGAAGCAGCCAGCCTTTATGCCAAGCACTGCCAGAAAGGCTTTGGCACAAAGCTGGAGCCCTTTCAGGAGCCTCTGATCCTGCTGATGATGTAGCTGATCTCATTGCTGAATACTTTCTCTTCTGTCAGGCATCTTGTGCTTGGGACAAGCATAGGTTTCTGTCTTGCCTGCTCCTCTCTTCTTGTGGGAGGTGTGTAAAGCTGCTGGAGGAAGTTCATAGACTGTAATTAGGTGCCACTGTGCTACAGGTTGTGTTATCTCATGTGTTAACTCATCAGGTTGATAAATATGTTGCTGTCTGCTTCCACCTACTATCTCTTCTCTGGTACTAGATGAAGTCTTTCGAAGCAGAATTGTCCTTGTATGTAGTGCTGTGTGGGCAAAGAGGCTGATTCCAACCTCCCATGGTGTTGGGCCTAGTTGACCTTTAATGTCCTTTCCAACCCAAGCCATTCTGGGATTCTTGATCACATTGGGGTTGGGGTGAGACAAGAAGCAACTACACTACTGAAAATAACTATCATGGGTTCTAATGCAATGCAGGGAGATAGCACACACCTCTTGTTGCTCTTCACCAGTCCTGATTCTCCTGTTTCTGGGCACTTTTTTGTTTGAGTATAGGTCAAATTTAGAAGGGATCAACTGACTCTAAAGATGGATGTGATGTTGTGCCAAAGGGGCTGTTGCTATTTAGAAGAGGGGCTCTCAACCCCTCTGTAGTGCCTTGGGTCCTGGTAGCTGTAAGGACTTCTGCCACTGCCTCCTAGCCCTCTTCCACAGTTTTCATTGCTGCACTACATGTGCCTTGCAGCGTGCTTGGGCTGTGCCATCAGGAACAGCACAATCAGAGTTGGAAATCAGTTAGAAATTGAAGTATGCCATCTTTTTTCATGTATGACACAGCTTGGTCAAGTTAGATCTCTCATGCTAGATCCCTGAATATATCCTCTGTAGTGTTCTCTGTGTTCTTGGTGCACAGTTTTTCATTGCTGCACTACATGTGCCTTGCAGCGTGCTTGGGCTGTGCCATCAGGAACAGCACAATCAGAGTTGGAAATCAGTTAGAAATTGAAGTATGCCATCTTTTTTCATGTATGACACAGCTTGGTCAAGTTAGATCTCTCATGCTAGATCCCTGAATATATCCTCTGTAGTGTTCTCTGTGTTCTTGGTGCACAGTGCTAGGCAGCT